CCCGCCACAACGCCCGGCTATTTTTTGGTTGCAGCCGTCATTGTTGTTTGGCGGGTCCGGGCTGGGGATTCGAACCCGCCACCTTAGGTGTACGTGGCTAGCGCCTTAGCCGGTTGAGCTATAGGCGCCAAGCCAGATCTCCCTCTCTTACTGGAGCACTCTGCAGCATTTTCTGTCCCTCCAGAGTGGATTACAACCACCCTCTTCCTGGTTGTCATTTTCCTCCTTACCGCCCCCTTGCAAAATGCAAGTGAAGATGATTTTAGAGAACACCCAACCTGCCCCATCACAGAAAGTGATGGAAAGAAGGCCTGGGCTCAGTTGCTCATGGTTGCTGTGTGATCCTGAATATCCATATCCTACCTCTGGGCCTTAGTCTCCGAACCTGTGAAGGAGGATGTGGGAGTCTGGATACTGGGAGCTGCTTCCAATTCTGACTGTACTTCCAAGAGTGGCAAGCAAAGACAGAACTAATCACCCTAGAAAGTGGTCCAGGCAGAAAACAGAAAGCAATTTAGGACTGGTTTTATTTAGATCAAAGATCTGTGGGTAAAAGAATGCTGCTTCCTAAGGAAATTGCAGGTGCCACCGTGGCAGGGCAGGGGAGGGTAGTGTATCCCAAGTCTACAGCACTAGCAAGAAATTCAGGCTGCCCACTCATCTCACCTTTCTGAAGCTACCCTACCCCTTCCAACTGCTCTGCCAAGACTGTCTCCAAGCTGGAGAGAAGAATGAACAGGCTGCTCAGAGCTGGAGCCTTTAGGGCCCTTCTCCCTCCTGCCCTCTCCTTCACTGAGAACAGAAATCAGAAGGGAGCTCCCTCTTCCCCACTCATTACTCCCAAACATGCCCACAGCCTGCTTCTATCCTCATCCCACCCCTATCCTGCACCACATACTCACACTCACCCCATGCTCTCACACTCCCCCACACGCATGAACATACACACCCTCAGAGCCCCAGTACCACCAACTCACTCCTTTCTCTGTTAACTTCGGCTTTCTCACCCTGCCAGCACACCCACACCCATAGCTTTTATTTCAAACACTTTCCCTCCATGCTGCTGTTCCCATGTTCTCCAGCTGTTGCCCCCTCCTCCCTTCTCCCCTCTACCATGTCAGGGAGGAAGTTCAGTTTACACTCTCTCACCCACCACCTCACTCTTTACCCTGCTGGAATCTGCTTTTAAATACATCCCTAACCTCTCCGTGGCTGCAGCCCTTGAGAAACCCTGACAACCTCTGAGCTCCCTGCCCCCTTGGCCCTGTGGTACTCTTCCTGGTCCTCCTGTGAGCCCAGCCACTCTCTGTCACTTGCCATCAATGCTGCAACTTTACTGAACTTTGGCCCTCTTTCCTCTCTTTCCTCCCTCTCCACCTGTGAGTGATTTCACCTTCTTGATGACTTTTTTATCTGAGTTCTAGACCCATGCTGGACAAAAGAGAAGGTACCACCCCTGAGATACCTCACAGACATTTCTGACTCAGAATGCCCAAGCTAGCCTCTTCTCCTCTCCCTCCATGTGCCCTATCAGCTACAGCACAGCAACACTCCCTGCTGCTCAACACCTGCCCCTTTGCCTTCTCTCCAGGAGGGACACATCTCTGGAAGGAGGCACCCTTCTCCCTGCTCTCCCTGCCTCTGGCATCTTTTCCTCCACTCTCCCACAGTTGGCCACTACCTACCTTTTCTGGCCTGCAGGCCCCTTTGCAAATTCATTTTGGCATTTAGCTTATCTGTATTGAGTATCAACTATGTGCCAGGCACTCTGCTGGAGGCTCAGGATACCAGTGAACAAAAAAGACATGGTGCCTACCTTTACCAGCGACTATTCTAACTTCCAGTACAGAATCTGGTAGAAGCCTGAACCCTTTCTTCAGAGAAAATGTGGCTTATGCACTCAGTCTGCTTGCAATTCTAGAGACCCACAGTCACTAATTCTGTAAGTGCCTGAAGGAGATGATCTTCTAATGTGGACACATCCGATCATCTGTTCATGACTTGACAGATCTTGAGAGCCTGCTGTATGCCAGGTACAGCCTTCAGGCTCTTCCGACTCTCCTCCTCCTGGCCTATAAGTCACTACCTTGCTGTTCCCTGACACAGCTGCACTCTCTACCACTGGTCTTTCCCTTCATGACCCTGGACGTGGGCCTAGTCTGTTCCTTGTGCTGGCAGCTCCCCTTCCTTTTTGTCACGGCAAAGTTCTCCCAGGCCCAGGTTTAATGTAATATCTCTGAGACAGCATCGTCAGCCCTGATTGCAGCTATCACTGTCTCCTCCCTAGGTGCCTTAGACATAGCTTCATTGCATCGTTGAGGTCTCTGTCTCTCTTCGCATGAGAGAGCCCCAAAGGCTGAGACCCTGCCCTGTATATTCCTTCTCCCCATAGGGCCTGGCAGATAGCTCTGTATACAGTGCTGAGTTGATGAGAAGCTTTTATGGCCCTCCTCTCCTGGGTGCAGGGTCTCACCGGAGCTAGGCAGCAGGCCTTTTGAATTGTCCTGGTCTCCTCTTGAAACCTTGGTTTCAAGGGAAATGGTTTCTAGAATGGGTTACCCAATCCAGAAACAGGGCCTGGCCCAGTCTTCTCCTGGGTATTATGGACCCCTAAGAGCCTAAAGTTTCTCCCTGCATTGTACCTGTCAGGGCCCTACCCCATTTTCTGCATCCTGACACTTCCTTGTTCTACCTATCCTGCCCCTGGGTTCTGAGCAGGGAACTGTTAGTGGTGAAGGATAGGGAACTTCTGATTCCCTGTGACCAAGGTGCTCTTGGAGTGACTCAGAGGGAGCTGCCACCTCCATGCACTACCCACCTGCACATTGTGTACAACTCGCCTGGCACAGGGGCAGAAGCAGGAGTCTCCTTTCTCATAAAATCTGTCCTCTCTGCCTGAATGGCCATTGACCTCCAGCTGTCTAGCACATTGCCTGCCCAGGCCACAGAGAACTCCTCCCCAGTAGGTGCTGTCTGTCTCTGGGCCTGCTGCACTGAGACATCTTGCCCAAGCCTTCCTGTGCCAGGAGAAAACTGCCCCCCAAGCCCTGGGCACAGGGCCTTCCCCTACAGAACCTAATGTTCCTTTATTTATGAGGGGCAGGCTGAAACAGGCCCCTCTAGCAGGCAGGGGGAGGTAGGTGCTGAGGAAAATGTGGAGGATGCAGCCGCCTAGATCCCATCTCTGCCAGCAGAGAACCAGCTGGAGAAGGAGGGGAGGGGCAACCATCAGGGGGCAGCCCTGGGTCAGTGCAGCAATGGGGCACCCAGAACGCAGTGCAGCTCCCAACCTGCCAGGAAGGCAGGACAGACCTGAATCCTCAGGGCTCCCTACTGGAGCTAAAAGTGCAGAGAATAAGGCAGTGATCCCGGCTCCTCCAGGGAGCACCCCTTCAGTTCTACCCAGAGCCCCTTGTGTATCTCTGAGGCCTGCCTCCCTGAGGTCACCCAGCAGCCAGCAAAGCCAGGGTCTTTGTTTCTCTTCCCTTGCCTCTTTCTTATTCCTCAAAGGACAGAGGCTCTCCCAGAGCCCTAACCCTCCTTTTTATAGGTCTCACACACCAGGATGTGACGAGCCCATCCTTATAATCCTGGCTCTTTTCCCTTCAAATACCCTGTGAGCCTTGCACTGCTTTGTCCTGCTACTGCTACCTCTGACATGTATAAGGAAAGCCCCTTTGAGTTCAGCTGTGTGTGACAAGAAAGGTCTGGCTCTAGGTCCCCCAAGCAGTGACTTCTGACCCTCAGATGGTCCACTGCCCAGCTCAGCCAGTGTGCAGGGAAGTGAAAGAAGCCTTGTCCCAGAGAAACTGGGGTTTGTGGCATCTAATTAGGCTGCAGCAGGAAAGAAGAAGCTGTCTCAGTTAGAGGGGCTTCCAGGGCTCTGTTTAATGAAGGGAACAAACTCTAATTGACAGAAGAGGGCTATGGGCAAACACCAGACCAAGGAAACAGAGACCAGCTTGTGCCAGAAAGAGTATGTATGGTCAAGCAGCTGTTGCCACATCAGTGAGGACATCACCACAGCAATAGGATTGACTGATAAGACAACCTTATAGCATCCTGGTTGAGAGGATCTTAGGGTGAGGATGTCTGGGAAGACGCTCACCCCCAGAGGCAGAGACAGAGGCGGAGCCCAGGTGGAGATTGTGGGCCAGTTTGCATCTCCTCAACCCTCAGCCCAGCCTCTCTGTTTGCCTCCCCTTTTCCTCCTTACCCCATCAGCTTCCTGGCTCAGCTTTATGTTCCTGGGGCTTAGAGCAATGACAGCTTCACTGCCCTCTCTCATATGCCACCTCTATATCAACCTACTTCACATAGTCTGAGAATCTGATTTTTCAATTCAGCACTAAAAAAAGATTACTTTATGTAAAGAAATTTTTCATGTACCTCTTGCTTCTCCTGGGGACTAAGTTGGGATCCTGCCCTTATGCCAATCTCATACTGGCCCCTGTAGGGCATTTGGACAGAGGGAGAGGTGGAAGATGTCAACAGTCCCTTATAGAGGCCAGCCATCCTGGGGTAGGTGCTGGAAACTCTTAGAAGGAAAGAGAGGCTTGAATAGGGCTTCAGAATGAAGAGGGGAATAGGGCCAGGTACCCTGGGATCACAGCCCTGGAGAGCCCTGCCCTGTGTCCGCAAGTCTCAGCACACAGGGCCTGTGTGCAGAGCTCTCCAAGCCGGGGCTAACCCCAGCTTTGAGCTCCTAGAGATAACCCTCATCCTCACCAACTATAGCTCCTGGTTCACTTCTTCTTTTGCCTTACTGTGTGCCTTTGGCCATATCAGGAAGCCTCTCTAGGGATCAGTTTTCCCATCTGTAAGAAGATTAGCCCTAAGGATCAAGCCCAGGATCTTTTTGTTCCCTGAGATATACAAACTCCTAGCAGAAGGCACTCACACAGTATTAGTTGAATGAATGAGTGAGTAAACAAATGAAACAAAAGCCCCTCAAAGAGATCACAGAGTGCCCCTTAGTGGCAGGGCTGATTTGAAGGCAAAGGAGAGCCACAGGTTTGGATGGAAGTCTGGGCACAGTTGCCATGAGGACCTGACAGTGGCTCTTCAAGTATCTGTGTATCCAGAGTGACAGGCTGCTGCTGCTCAGAGAGGGCAAGCTATCTGGGAATGAGGGAGATGGCCATGTGACTTCCAAAGGGGCCTGGATTTCCTCCCCCAGAAAAATGTTAGAAAAATTTTAGAAAAGTGTGTGTTAAGAATCATAGATTTAGAATGTGTGAGTAGCTATAAGCCCACCCTGGGTTGTCCTGAGGGCCCAGGTCTTCCTGCACTGCAGGAATTTGTGTTCCACCAGGACACCGGAACTGGCTGGGCTGAGATCTACCTCCCCATCCAGCCTGCACGGCCAACTGTAGCTGTGTGGGGAGAGGTGGCCTCTGAGTGACCATTGGAGAGTCACAGCCAGCCCTGGCTCACACCTCTTCCTCTTTTATCCCCTCCCTAACCAGAAAGAACTCACGACTACAGTTCAACAAGGTGAAGGTGGAGGACGCTGGGGAGTACGTCTGTGAGGCCGAGAACATCCTGGGGAAGGACACCGTCCGGGCCCGGCTCCATGTCAACAGCGGTAGGTGGGCCCCCAATGAAGGGAAGGGTCCTAGAGTGGTTTGATACAGCAAGCCAGCTGCCCCCAAACCTGGGGCCACACATGATCCATCTTGCACTCAACTCCTCTCCCTCCTGCTGCTGCCGTATCAAGCCCTAGATCTCAGTCGATTCAGAGAAATGCAGTCGAAGCATAAATGTTTAGCTTTGTTATCTGGGCCTGGAAAAGCCGCCAGCTCTCATTTTAAATACCCTGAAAACTAAATATTTTGAAATCAAGAGGTGGGGGTGGGGGGAAGGATATTTTTAGAAGGCAATTATAGGAGGCTGTGCTGCCAGGAGTGGGGCTAAGGGGAGAGGCAGGCTGGGGGTGTGTGCAAGCAGACTGCCTGCTGCCTGCTGCCTACTGCCTGCTGGACACCTGGATGCAGGCTGTTGTCTCCACTGGGCCATGGGTGGGAGACTTGGGTGCCTGGGGCCCTGAGAGCAGTCCCTGTTCAGGAAGAGCAGACCCCTCTCTCTTGAGTCATCTTCTCCTTGAAGTCTTGCAAGATCAGGACCTTATAGCACCTCTTAGCTTCTTGTCTCTATAGTGGCAGATGCAGCTTCGGAGCAGAGGCTACCTTCCTACTGGGCTGTCCTCTCAGGCCCAGGTCTTTCCCTTGATTGGGAAGTTACCTCTCCTCTCTGCCAAAGCTGCCTGTGATCAGGGAGTCTTCCATTCCAGCCTTAATGTTCCAAATCACTTTCCTCCTCCTGGCTCTCACAGACTGAGCATGCCATTTGGCTACCTATTGGGGTTTGTTTCCTGCCTGCCCCTGTCAGAGCATCTAATCCTATATCTGTTGTCACCCACATGTTTTTCCATTAGATAGTGTTGTAATACTTCCTAAACCCAGTGTGGTCTAAAAGAGAACTGGTAACCCTGCCAGTGACCCTCTGATGAAAACCTAACTCAGACCTTGTCTGTCCTACATTGGTGAGGGGTACCCCTGTTCTCTCAGCCTCTTGGACTCCTTGTCTGAGTCTCTATATCCTGGTCAGTCTTCCTTCTGGATCTTTCTTTTTATTTTTGAGACAGAGTCTCACTATGTTGCCCTCTGTAGAGTGCTATGGTATCATAGCTAACAGCATCCTCAAATTCTTGGGCTTAGGCAATTCTCTTGCCTCAGCCTCCCAGGTAGCTGGGACTAGAGGTACCTGCCACAATGTCCGGCTATTTTTTGTTGCAGTTGTCATTGTTGTTTAGCAGGCCCAGGCTGGGCTTGAACTCGCCAGCCTCAGTGTATGTGACCGGCACTGTAACCACTGAGCTACAGGCACCAAGCCCTTTCTGGATCTTTCTCACACCTGTGTCTTCAACTCTAACTATACTTCCAGGATAACAGTGACTCAGGTTTCATCCCTACTCAACTGAACCAGAGCAATGGCCTTTTATGGCACTTTTATCCCAGCAGAGCTACAGAACAAAGACTTTGTTCTAACCAATCTGGCCCAAACAATCTTTCCTTCCTAACCACAATAGTACCCTTTTACATCTTATTCTTACTTTTTCTCCCAGGTCTCCCAGGAAGCTTTTCTCCTTGACCACCCACTTCCCTATAGTGTTACGCCCAGCTAGGACCTCACTCCCGGGCCACATCTTGATCAACCATGGTCTGATGGCATCTCATAAATTCTAGAGCAGCCTTCATCTATCATACTGTTGCTGACATTTCTCTGTAGGTATGACCTCCCCATGAAATTGTGAGCCTTGGGAGTGAGGCTGGGACTCCCTGGGAGTTTCAGTAATAGCTACTTACTGAACCAGGCTCCACATCTCAGATCCCTTTCTCAATCTCAAGGTCTATTTTATAAATTATGAAAAGCTCAGAGAGGTTAAATATTTAGCCCAAAGTCAAACAGCTGGTTAATGATAGAACTGTACAAAGTAAAAGTTGTTGGCAAACAGCCACTGAACTCCATGGGCTATGTCTAACCTGTTTGTCACTCTAGCCCCACGGGCTAGCACAGCTCCTGCCCTGGCTCATAGTGAGTATTTTTCTGCTTCTCACATGGCATAGCCTGGCTGGAAACTGTGGGGTTGCCTGGGCTACCACTACTCTCAAACTGTTCCAAGCTTGGAAAAGGGGCTGTTCCTGGGGTCTAGCACCTGCCGTCTCTACCCTAATGTGCAGACATTCTCAGCTCCATTTTGGATCTGGTGCTTCCTGTTTCATCGGTCTAAACTTTCTTGGTAAGAACTGACTTAAATCTATCTTGAGGAATTTATTTGCTGATTTATAAAACTGGGAAGCCCAGAGATAGAACTAGCTGCAAACATGATGAAGTGCAAAAACTCAGAGGAGGAGGGGTCAAGACACTTTCACCCACTGTGTGTTGACCTCATTCTTTCCTGCTGTTAAATGGGCTTCTCTCATGTTTGGGGAATGAAGTGGAAAGAGGAGGCCATGGCCACAGACAGGCTTACACCATCCCAGCCTACTACCCAGAGAAAAGACATAGTGCCATCTTTATATACGTACATACAGTCACAAGGATGGTCATGTGCACTGCTTGGCCCAGTCACTGTGCTTGGGCGCCATGGGGTGCCAGGCTGTCTGTATGTGTGCAGAGGCACGACTGAGAGGAGGGGCAGAGTGCTGGGACTGAGGGCCTTGCCAGAACACCAGGGGAAGGCACTTACTTTCTTAGAGGGGTAAAAGGGAGAGGCTGCTAGGCAGAAACCCAAAAGAGAGCCCTCTCTCTGACAGAGGTGTGGGCCTGAAGCTGGAGAAGGTGGTGAAACCTATCAGATAAGCCATCTAGCCTCACAGGCAGGCTCCTGTCTGCCCTCACCAAGCCAAGATCTGATCAGTTTGGGAACCAGACAGTGGATTGGGCCAAGCACTGAGGATGAATCTGAACCAAGCTTTCTATAGGGTCCTTGCCTCTTACCCCTCCTGCCTGGCAGGAGAGCTGCACGACAGAGCAGTGGAGAGTTCAGAGAGTTCATTAGTCCCAGCTGTGCGCCTGGGCTATAGCACTGAGCAACTTACTCCAACTCCCTAGTCTTTGGTTTGCTCACTGTGGGGCTGAGTTAGATGATCTTTAAGCCCCTTTCCCTGAAAATTCAGGGGTTCTGAGTTTGATGAAGACTGACATCTTATGTACCCACCAGTACACACACTGTACCCCTCTTCTCCTGCCCTGTGTAGTCCATGATAGGAGGCCCCTGCTGGGGCTCTTTTCCCAGGCAAAAATGCCCAGGCCCCTTGTTTACCCATGGAACCCAGGAGCAACCTGTAGCAACCACACCCTGAGGAGAGGTGGAGGGCAGACAGCTGTGTCTGCCCCCTCTGACTCATACCAAGGTGGGTTGGCTGGCCCGCCCAGGCCCCAGGGTAACCAGGGCTACAAGGGTGGGGCGACCAGAAGAGGGAACAGGAAGGCTGTCAAGGGACAGCAGGCTGCTCAAGAGACATCATTTTGGCTCTTGGCCTGCTCTGTTCAGGAGGACCTGATGCACCTTCCCCAAACTGGAGCAAGCTTTCCTTGAAGTCACAGCTCCACCATCCCATAATAGGCTTCCTGTCTTCCTAAGCTATCTGGAAGGATGAGGAGGAGTCAGCAAAAAGTTTGTGGTGCATGTAACAGAACAGTCAGCTTGGTCTAACCTGCTTCTGAGTTAGGGAAACCAGCTGCCTCATCCCAGGAGAAAGAGAACTCGGAGGAACTAGCACTGAGGAGGCTATACTAGTCCCAGGTTGTCTTTGCCCCAGAAGACAGGCAGGTTTTACCTGGGTGTTACAGGACCATGGATGTTCTAGAGAGGCCTCTGGGCCTGTCCCTTACTCAGGGCTTTAAAAGGCTAGCTGCTTAAACACACCTGAACCTATGCAACTACACTTTGTGCTGAGCTCTGGGGAGTCACATTCTTGGCCCCCCATAAAGTCCCTCAAGTGGCAGGAAGCTAAAAGTAAACTCACAAGTATCTGCCTATTCTAACAGACTGAGAGGAAAGATAGGCAACTTTACCAAAGGGAGAGGGGAACCCCAGGCAGGTAGGAAGGAGCCCTGATGGGTGAAGGGGATAGATGATCTGAATCTTGGAAGATAATCGAGGGCCAAAAACAGTCGCCACTTGGACAGCAGGGAGGCACACCTCCATAGCCCCTGTCCTAGTCTCACTGTCCTAAAGGTCCCCCCTCCCCCAATAAACTTACACCAAAGAACTGTGGTTGGTAAAGGCTCCCTGGGCTTACTTCTCCCAGACATTTTTTAAAATTAATTTTTTGACATATAATTTATATGCCATTAAATTTACCTTTTTAAAGTATAAAATTAAGTGGTTTGTCGTATATTCACAAAGTTGTATAATGATCACCACTGGTTTTAAAACATTGTTATCACCCCCAAAAGAAAGCCATTCCCCACGTTTCTCTCCTCCCAGCTGCAGACAACTAATCTACTTTCTGTCTCTGTGGATTTGCTTGTTCTGGCCATTGCATATAAACAGAATCATACAACATGTGGTCATTATGACAGGCTTCTACTTAACATAATGTTTTCAAGTTTAATCCATGTTGTAGTATGTGTCAGTACTTTATTCTTTTATTCCTTTTTATGGCTAAATAATTTTCCACTGTATGAATATACCACATTTTATATATCCATTCATATTTTAGATTGTGGGTTCACTTGGATTGTTTCCGTATTTTGACTATTATGAATAGTGCTGCTATGGACATTTGTTTACAAGCTTTTGTGTGGGCGTAGGTTTTTTTTGTTTGCTTGGTTTTTGTTTGTTTGTTTGTTTGTTTGTTTGTTTGAGACAGAGCCTCAAGCTGTTGCCCTGGGTAGAGTGCTATGTCATCACAGCTCACAGCAACCTCCAACTCCTGGGCTCAAGCGAGTCTCCTGCCTCCGCCTCCCAAGTAACTGGGACTGCAGGTGCCCGCCACAACGCCTGGCTGTTTTTTGGTTGTAGCCATCATTGTTGGTTGGCGGGTCCAGGCTGGATTGGAACTCAACAGCTCAGCTGTATGTGGCTGGCGCCTTAGCCGCTTGAGCCACAGGCGCCAAGCCTGAGCATAGGTTTTTAATTTCTTGGGGATATATCTAGGAGTGGAATTTCTGGAGCCCCTGGGAATTCTATGTTTAATTTTTTTAGGAACTCCCAGACTGTCTTCTAAAGCAGCTATACTATTTTACATTATCACCAGGAATGCATGGGGCTCCAATTTCTCTATGTCCTCACCACAACTTTTTATTATCCGTCTTTTTTATCCTGGCCATCCTAGTGGGTGTGAAGTGGCATCTCACTGTAGTTTTGATTTTCCCTAATGACCTTCCTAATGCAAAGAAAGGATATTTGCATCTCATAGGAGAAAATTCTTTAATCTACAGAAAAAATATCATCATTAGACCGTGATACCAGACTAGAAGGCATTTTTCTCCAAAGAATAAGATATTTATTTGCTCATTCGCCCAGTAAATATCTGTTAAGCATCTACTGTTTGGGAAGCGCTGTGATAGGTACTGGGGTTCCAAGGTAAACAGGACAGACACAGCATCTGCCCTGATGGAGTATACATTCCAGGGGTGGCACTAGACACTAAACAGCTAACAACTGCACCCCTCACCATGTAACCACATTCGAATAAGTACTAGAAAGAGATGTGTGAAGCTGAGAGAAGAATGAGGGAGGAACCTGACCAGTGAGGAGTCCAGGAGAGGCCTCTCTGAGACATTGATGTTTCAATGTCCTGGACAGGCATGCACCCATCTTGTTAGAGGAACAGGGCTAAGACCAGTGTGGTCAGAGCATACTGAAAGAGGTGGATGGGAGATGCAGTGGGAGAGGTGGTAAGGCCCAGATTAGAGAGGAAGTGGGGGTTTTATTCTAAGTGCAAATAGAAGCTGTCTGAGAGCTTCTGATAATGCAATTGATCAATCTGATCAATACATATTGCTTCTGATAATACATATTTTAAAGACCACTGTCGCTGCTGATAGTAAAAAGAGATGAAGGCAAGAGTGAAGGCAGAATGACCAGTGTGCAGGCTACTGTGGTTACCCAAGGAAAGGAGACAGCAGTAACATGGCCTAGGGAGGAGGTAGTGAGACATGGGTGGAGTCTCTTAAGGAAGTTGAAATAGCAGCCCTTGATGGTAGGTGGCCATGGGGAATAGAAGAGGAGGAGAAACAAAAGATGCCCTCTAGGTCTTTGCTTGGTACTATTTGATCACTGAGATGCGTAGACTGCGGAAGAAGGTATTTAGGCATTTGACTGAGATCCCAGTTCAAGTATGTTGCATTTGAGGTGTGAGCAGTGAGGTGTTGTGACCCATCCAAATAGAAGTATTGAGGGAGCAGCTCCACCAGACTCCATGTGTCACCTTCACATCTCCAAACATAGGAGAACCCAGTGGGGAAATACGGCTGCACTGACAAGGGAGTCCAGACGTGTTGCCCTGAGAGCCCACATGTGCTAGAACAGTGTAACTAAGCCACAGTGTGAGTGCACCTCCCCAGTGAGCAAATCTTCCTGGTGTGTGGCTTCACTACCAGCATACTCAGGCTAGTGACTTAGGAAGGCCCTACCATTACGGAGGGGTGGACTTTCAGAGGTGCAAAGGCCTGTGGTCGCTGTTTCCCCCACGTCTACAACCCACTGTGATTAGCCCCATTGTCCTCCCTTTGTCCTTTGTGGGTCTCCAGCCTAGTCCCTATGATGACATGGTGCTGGCATCCCAGACCCAGTGCACCTAGCCTGGGAGGCCCCATCTTTCTTCAGGGCTTGCTTGAGGTTCCCGAGGCCTCAATGAGCACTAAGTGTGCAGCTATGGTCCCCACCACCTTTGACTCCCCAGGGAGCCAAGCTGGGCCTGGCAGTCCAGGCAGAGATGTCTCTGGTTTAGCCATACCCACAAGAGGATGCAGGCCTATGATCCACATTACACTTGCTTTCATCTACTTAGGTCAAGCCTTGGTGCTGATGTGCTCTTCCACAAGGGACAGTGGCTAGTTTTAATGTGCAAGTGGGGCTCAGGAGCCCCAAGGCTTTGTCGAAACACATGTGATAACTCTGGATGGGTATGTCACTGCCTCCTCCCTTGCAGCATAGGGCAGGACAACCTCCAGTGTCTTCTAGCAATCATATTTTACAACTCACAGGCATGGTCACCTCAGCTGTTTCTCTTCTCTGTCCCTTCTTGGATTCCTTGGGTCTCACTGACCCAGAAGTGAGATAGAGACCAGCAGGAGGCCTCCTCTTCCCAGCCAGCATGTGGGTACCAGCTGGGCTGGAGTTGAGCAGAGGAGAGAGACCTCAGCAGGGCCCAAGAATGCCAGCTCAGCTGCAGGCATGATGTGGAGGGGACAGTGGAGCCAGCCCTGCCCGCTGGGTTTTATCAATGAGCTCCTCCGATGTACACAGAGGCAGAGCTATGTATACACTCACAGTTCCCGTGCTCCATCTGTCTCCCCACATGTCTAAACACTGGGGGCGCCAAATGCCTGCCCTTCTTCTCCTCTTCTCACCTCCCCCGTTACAGAGGGGAATGACAGAGACTCAACTCCCCTGAGGAGATAGGCCAGCAAAGGTAGGATAGGCCACCTCAGCAAGGAGGCCAGTCCTTGGTGGGAGGCCCAGAGAGAAGAGGGGAGCAGGGACCTATTTCTGGCTGTCTAATCTGAATACACAGCCTAGGGCATTATCTTATAAATGAAAACTGATGTTTGAGGCCAGAATTTTTACTTAAAGCCAGCTTTCTAGATGCCATCTCCTGATGGGCAGCAGAACTTTAATTATTATCATTTCTCAAGTAAATATATGGTCTGGTTGAGCAGCCTTAAATCATTCTTGCTCTCCCCTAGTTTCTCATCCCAACTGCCCCCTATCCCTCTCCAAGCCCTGTCTCCTCCCCAACAATCAGAAGCCCAAGATTTATAGCCTGGGCTGTCCAAGGCCTGGAGGCTCCCTCCAGAGGTAACAGCCAACTAGGTAGGAGAAGAAGGGGCTGACTGGCATGGTAGGATGTGGGGAAGACCCTGGATGCCTATGGAGACAGCACATAGTGGCCTTGGTAGCATTTCAGGGAGGCTTGGAGCCAGCCCAGCCCTGGAAGAAAGTGGGGAGAGAGTAGAAGCTAGAGGCCCCCCCATATCTCTCCAGATCTTAGAAAATGACAGTGTCTAAAAGGTGTCATTCCCCCGAAAGCCCGGCTCCCTTCCAGCCACTGCCTGGTCTACAGGAGAGGACAGCTGTACAGACAGGTAGAAGTGTCTCCTCCCTGCACCTCCCTACTGTCTTTGTTACCAACATTAGACATCAGCATCGCATCCACTCACAGTGTAGTCCCCAGAAAGACAGGCAGAGAAGGGGAGAGGTGAGCCCCTATTCCAGCAGAGGAAGCAGTTTCTGCTGTCTTCTCACCCTCCTCCAAAACCTGGCCTTTGTAGGTTTGCCCAGAGTGTAGGTTCAGAGTCACACTGGGCAGATGGGCAAAGCTCACACTGGCATCCAGTCTGCCTTGTTGGTGTTTAGGAGGGACTGCCAGACCTTCCTCCTGTGTCATTCCTGAAGTCTGGTGATCTTCCACTTTTGAGATGGGACACAAAGGGTCATGAAAGACATGATTCCTGGGGCCTGGAGATGGTCTCAGTGGGTCACTGGCACATGTCTCTCATATCCCCAGTGAGCACCACCCTGTCATCCTGGTCGGGGCATGCTCGGAAGTGCAACGAAACAGCTAAGTCCTATTGTGTCAATGGAGGCGTCTGCTACTACATCGAAGGCATCAACCAGCTCTCCTGCAAGTAAGTGACCAGTGGGGGTGGGTGGGGGGGCAAGAGTAGGGTGGGAGATACTGGGGCAGAAGTGGAGGGCTCTAGGGAAAGCAGCTTTGAACTGCTGACAAGGGGTCCCCAAGGGGTGTAGACAGGGAGGTTTGCCCCATTTTCTGGCCCTTACCTGGAATACAGGGAGATGTAAGCCATATGGGGGCACAAGGGCTTCTATTGTCCCAGTTTCCCAGGCCCCACCCACCCCATCTCCTGACGTCTACCCTTTCCTCAACACCCTTTATGGAGATGGGAATGCCAGTTTATCTGTGCTCTAGGCACTGGGGCACTGGGTTGTCTCTTTCTCTGTCTCTCTCTTTTTCTCTCCCTCCCTTCCCACCTCTCAGCAACTCTCCAAACTGTTCTTGAGGAACATGTGCCAGGCTGGGTCTTCCCCAGTGGTGAGGAGCCTGGCAGGCTCAGGCAGAGCACAGGTTCCAGAGCCCTTGGCAGCTGAGAGTTCTGCTCCTGTAGTCTTGAGAAGAGAAGAGGGGTCTGCCCAAAACCTAGTACTAACTTTGGGATCTGGCCTTCCTGCCCTGCAGGACCCCATTCTCCAAATACACCCTGGCTACTGCCTGTGCACCTTAAGCCCCTAGCCATACCCATGGGATGAGGGAATACTAGCAAGAATGCTATTCTTGGTGTGGCCTAATGAGAGAGTCAGGGCAGAGGAGTTCAAGTTGGGGCCTTTCTTCCTCCCCAAGGGCCAGAGCCTGGTCACCAGTCAGGCAGGGTGGTCCCAGCAAGAACTCCAAGGAGCTCAGAACCACCTACTCCCCCAGCAAATAGGGCAGGCCAGAGCAAGGCTGTCAGGGCAGGCTTATTCAGGTTCAACCAGGTCTTCCAGGCAGCTGGGCTGACAGTGCCCCCTAACAGACTCTCTAGCGGGTAGTGAGGAAGGGGAGGGCAGCACAGGCTCTGGCCAGATCTTGGGAAAGAGTGGGAGAGGTCCTAGTTAACAGCTTTGGCTTTTCAAAGCAGCCCAATCCCAGACCCCTGACAAGGTGCCAAAGCTGCCCCATTCCTATGGCATCTGGGCAAAGGCCACCAATGTACTGATGGAGAGTCAGAGAGAGGTGTTTTAAGTCTCCACAGACGAGGACAGACTCAGCACTTTTTGGCTCTCCTGCCTCTGGCCTTCTACTCCAGATCTGCATCCCACTCCCTGACCACTGCCTTTCCTGGAACTTAAGCCTGATGAAGAGACCAGGGCTTTTAAAGACCCCTCCATCTGATGTGGTAGCGAGGGGCCGGGGCCATGCCCCCTTCTCACTCACCTTGGCCTGTACCACCAGGCAGAACTGTGGCTTTCCTCCTAGCTGGCCTCCTTTGCTGACATCCTCCCTGGCCCCACCCTTCACCTGCTACCATCCCCTTCCCATCTTCCCCCATCCCGAATCTCAGGAGACAGTCCCAACAGCCATAGCAGGTCCTCCAGGGAAGTTTTCAGCCCAGACTCAGCCACTCATCCTCTCCTGCCTCTAGGATGCTGCCACATTAGTGTCACAGACCCTGGGGAATAGTCTAGCCTTGAAAATGCTCTGAGCTCTTTGGAATCTAGATCTACAAGGAACTCATAAGGGTCCTCACAGAGACAGCCTAGCCCTGAACCCCCTTTTCTTGTTCTCCCATCACTCACACCAGGCCTTTCCTCTTCCTTAGCCCCTTGGATCCCTGAAGGGATCCAGCCTGTTGTGGAAGTCAGCCCTGGCTCCAGGCAGGAAGATTTGGCACCCCCACCCCAGGACAGTTGCCAGGGCTGAGGGCCATGGGGGACCCAGGGCTCCAGTGTTAGAGTTCAGTGGAAGGATGTGATGTGTGAGCTCCCAGAGGGCCCTGCCATGAGAGCCGTACCCCTAGGACCCATGGATCTGCCCAGCTAAACCTAAAAGGAGCAGAGGGCAGGAGCCTGAGCCACAGTGAAGATGGTACCCTGTTTCCCCTCTCCTCCAGAACAACTGGGCTTCGCTGCCTAGAACTTGAACTTGGTTCCAGAGCCACCACTTCCCCATCTCAGCCCTCCTTCCCTGGTCTAGTCAGGGCTCCTAGAACTAACTTCCCTTGTCAGCCCTCAGGGAGAGGGACATCCCTGGTGGGGATTCAGTCAGAACAGCAGGTCCTCAGAGCTGTGCTGGAGAAGGGCAGGGGGGAGGGGGGCAGGGCAGAGCCCAGAGGCCATTCTGGGGGTGGGTGAGCTGGGAGGGAAGGGGGGGCAGGCCTCTTGGGGTTCCTGATGACACCTGAACTGGAATAAAAAGGAAAGAACTTAGGAAATGGAACTCACGTCTTACCATTTGTGCTGTTTGTTTACTTTTTATTTTGGTTTTTTTGCATTTCCGCTTAGCTTGGATAATGAAACTACACTGGTCAGTTTCATTCCAGTTTCTATAAAAATCAGTTTTCCTTCCTGGTTTTCTTACACTTGTTGTTGTGTATTGGTTCAGAGTCCTGCAGGGAGTGTTGGAAAGCAGGCACACTCCGTCCCTCCTGTTTTTCTGGAATTCAGTGCCAAAAGAAACAGTGTCACTGATACTGAATTTTGTTTTATAAAAGAAAACTTAGGGGGATTTGAAAATGGGAGTCCAAATCAAGGTGACTGTCCCCTGTCTAGGCCAGACAGGGGCCTCTGGACTCCCTCTTGCTGCTTTCTCCTCTTCTCTCCGTGTGTTTGTAGAGCACGGTTGGTGCGTTGACTCTTGGGGACTGGTTCAGGGGATGATGACAGAACAAGACTCTCTTTCCAGCCCTGTGCACATACCAGTGGCATGCCTCCCCCCATCAGCTCATCCCCCATCCCTCCCTCCATGTCCAGGCAATTCCCCCATCCACAGCCATCTGCCTGCCCATCCTCACCACATCTCCACCCCTCATGAACTCAGAGACCCTCACTCCCTCCAGTGCCCGGGGCACACCCTCATCCTTCATCCTCCCCTCCCCCGGGTGAGGGCAGCACACATGGCATTATCCCCAGGCTACCAAAAGGAGAAACTGAGGCCCGGGAGGGGGGTGGGAAAAAAGGAAGGCAGAGATCCTGACCTGTCACCCCAGAAGCAGCCCATGGGCTCTCCTCTCTGCCCCTCTCTCACCCTGCTCTTCTCCAGCCCTGGGGAAAGGCCTTCCCAGAGTCACAACTGATGACCTGGTGGGAAGGGCTGGGAAGGCTGTTACCTGCTGCTCCTTCTCATCTGTCCTCTGTGCCCCTGAAATCCAGAGGCTCAATCCCAGACTCCCATCCTGGTTGGTAGGTTAATATACCCTGTACTCTCTCACCATGGTCTTAGGTGCAGATTAGAGAGGCTGTAGGCCCAGCTTACTATCAGAGCCCTCTCTAGGGAAGCCCAGCCTCCTGGATGTGGCCCATCCTCAATAAGCAGGACTAAGGAGAGAAACAGGAATGTCCGGGAGCACCTGAAGGAGCAGTACCCCAAAGAACAGCATCAGCCATCTGTCCTCCACACCCCACCCAGTGCCATCCCCCAGTGCCCTCTTTTTTGTTCCACCAGTGAGGAGGACACTTTCTCAAGGAAGGAAGGTTAGGACCATAATGTTGCATAACTCCAGGGGCACATTTGTGTTATAGACTGTGTCAGTGGTGCCTCCTGGAGTTGTGCAATTTAGAGCCCATGAAAGATATGAGGATGCAGTCAGGGTAGTCCAGACTGGTTGTGGGAGCAGGGACATAGGGATGTATTTAGTTATCATTGGTTTCCAAGAGTGATGGGAAGCGCTCCTTGTCAGCAATGGGAACAAATTTCCCCTTGTCCTCTCTTGCACCTGCACTCCCTAGTCTCCTCCTTACCCACACATACACAGGTGTCCCTGCCTCCAAGAGCCAGGCTGATCTCAGACATTGGATACAGACAAAACCACCTCTTTCATGCTCTTTTGTGGATTCCAAGAATCATTTTGGCAACTTCCTGGGTCTTTATCCCCTACCCCCAAAAGCACTTCTGTTTGAAAAATCACTTCTCCCCTCTAGTCCCCATCCCAATTGGGTATCAGTTTCCAAGAGCTGAGGAAGAAGACCTGAGCCTAGCTGGAATTGGTTGGGAAGCTAGAGCCACTACTTCCATTTTCCTGGGCTGATTAGCGACAAGGGCCAGGGATCAGAGAAGGATGTGTTGACAAGGGGACTGATGGTACCCTCCTCCTCTAAGCCACCCTGTTCAACATGATGAGCATGTACTCACCTACCCAGCCCCACCAGCACTTTCCTGATATACTTTACAGCCCTCCTTTATCCCCTGCTTCCCAGACATACCCACACCTCCACCACCACCACTACAAAGGACCAACCTCCTGTCCCCCCTGGGGGAGATGCCATGGAGGCCCAAAAAAACCCCAACTCGGCTCAGCGCCTATAGCTCAACCGGCT